AAATTGGATTTTTGCAAAGAAGAGAATATGGTATTTTAAACTCTACTACTTGTCAAGGTAAGGTAGTAATATAATTAAAAACTTTCGTGGTTTTAATTTATGATTTTCCAGATAATTCTGATGATTTTCAATTTATAAAAGAAACTTGCATTCCCAGTGACGAATTTATAACTGTTAGAATATCACTTGTCGTCAACTTAGTTTTTATAATTATTTAATAATCAAGTTAACATTTTTGTTTTAATATTATAGATGTCTAGTTTTTTCATTCAGAAATTAATATTTAATAAATAAAGATTTGTTGTTAAATTATTTTCACATAAAAACTATCAGAAGTGGAATTTAAAGAGAAATGCAAAGGAGAAATTTAACACGCCAAGAACTTATAACAGCATTAAGCCAATGCGGAATTGAGTTTCCGGAAAGTGCAACAATTGCTCAACTTCGCACAATGTTTAAAAAATCTAATTGCGATGAGGCCAATCTAATGATGATTTTAATCAAACATCAACATATGACTTCTTTAAGCAGTTTTAAATTTTTACCACCAACAATGATAATTTAATTTTTCAGTTATTAAGATCCGATGTTATTCAATATATCCAAATTTTTCTGGTATTATAACGTGGAACATATTTTATCAAAAGGTTTTTCAAAAACTTTCAATAATTAACGATACAACAGCACAAAAATATTTAACAATTTCTGAGAAATTAAACGAAGGTAATTCTGTCGCACACACATTTTAATTACAGATTCTAAAAAAGCAGTTGCCTTCCTATTACTCCCTTATCATTTTCCTTCAACGGTATTAAAGGCCAAAGCTCAACAAAATTAACAAAAATTGAAGTCCAAGAAAAATTTATTGCACATTTTGACAAAAGTCAAAATGTAGTAAATACCTTTAGTAAAGTGTAATAGTATAGTAAATTTTAAATTATTTTACTTTAGACGCTAGAACAAGCAGATATGCTTTTGAAAACCCGTTAGAGGCTATAGAATGCTGTTTTCTAATATGCATGACTAAATTGATTAGGAATTTTATTCAAAAATATGTCTTCAAAATTAGTACAAAATACGATTTGAATAACACTAGTATAAGATCTGTATACTATAAATTATTACACTAGTTTTATACATATTTACGTTTTTCATAATGAAATGCATACTTTGTAAGAAAGATTTTAGTAGCTTTGATTTATATTCTATACTGTACTGTCATCATAGTACCACAAGATTTAAATGCAGCTCCAACTGCAGCTGAATATTTTCAAATATTAACGCTCATTTAAAACATATTAAAAATTGTCACTTTAAGAAGATTGTCCATCATTAGTAATGAAGGATCAGTAAATTTAAATCTTGATATTGACAATCTGTTTCAGATATGAGCTCCCATAAAGAAATTTTAAAAATAATTTTAAAGGTTGTTAGTGAGATAGAACAAGAACAATTGCGTTTAAGCAGTGTGACCATTTTGGCATTTTTGCAGCTAGATTTAGCATTTTTATTTTGATTGAGCTGTAAAATTTTAATTTAGCATTTCGCATTTTATTTAGCATTTTTGTAAAATATTTTTAGCATTTTTAGCTTTTTTTTTGCAATTTTAGTATATAAACAAAAAAAAGACACATTTTTGCAAAAAAGCTTTATATTGGAAATAGGTTTAACCGGAAAAAATCAGAATTAAATGTCTACCCAAACACAAGCAACAAGAAATATGAGAAATGTAATGTAAAATAATTGCACTGTAATTCAAAATAATGCAAAAAGATTCATGAAGATAAATAACTTAAAATTACGCCAATACAAGTGAATACTTTAAAATGTTGTATTCTAAAATATTTGTCTGGAACCCAATGCTTTTTTAAATTCGAGGTGATAGAAATAATTCAAGAGATTTCATATATTTTCACAAATACGTTCAGTACGCTATTATACAAACTATTACTTTTTGTTTGCTCATTGAATGAAACATATAATTTTGGAAAAGGCTATGTATGACGGTTAATTAACAAATTTTATTTTTTCCTATACGAAATAAAGAGGTTTTAATTTTTATCATCCTTCAGGAGTTCTTGTTAATTTATTGAAAATAAGTATTAGAAAAAATCAATAATATATAATTAAGACTTTCTCATCCTACTATCTGTTCTTTTTATTTTTACCAAATTTTTAGTAATTTTGTTGTCACTTTTTTTTAATTAAAAAAATACATAAATTTCGAAAATATTGTTGACAATTTATTCCAGAATTACAAACTTACGAATTTGAATATATCTCTCAATTCATTTCATACATTCTCATATATATTTTTCCGAAAAAATCTTTGAAGTATGAGTTATAAACCTGACATCTATTCACCGAGATTTAAAATTATGGAATTTTCAATATTTTTGTGACATGAAAACCATTTTTAAAGTGTTTTGAGGAAGACAAATAAAATTGTTTATATAAAAAAAAGTAAAACTAGAAATATTATACTTTTCCTTCCCAAAACACATATAGGTTTTATATCATGAGCAACTAGTGTAATTAATAGAGTTTTAATATAATTTTTGCATTCAGAAATATTTTAAAGTTAGAGACATTACATATTGCTAAATTTACAAAAATTTTTAAATAATTTTTAGCATATCTGTTTATCTTAATACTACGGAACTTAATTGTTTACCCTACTCCACTATACTACGTTTAAGTATACTAATCGGTTAAGAATCATTGTCTGAATCTGAAATTTTCAAAACAATAAGCACGTATGCTTTTTGGTCCAATGATAAAACCTTTAAAAAATGGTTAAAGTCCGTCCTTTATTTTACCTAGCCCCCATACATATACAAATGTATAAAGCCTTTCTCAGAAAATTAGTTTAAATATATCGGAACCAAGGTTCATTTCAACATAAATGCTTTATTACGAAAAATAAATCAAATTTTATACTCATATGGTCAACCACGGCAGAATATACTTTCTTACTTGTTATAAATTACAATGAATTTCAGTTACAAATTAATATGAATTGTTCATGAAAACACTTAAAAAATTTTAGCATTTTTTTGGCATTTTAAAATCAATTTAGCATTTTTTCTAGCATTATTTTGGATGGGATTTAGCCGCAACATTTTTTGAGACCTGGTCACACTGCGTTTAAGACATTTAAATAACTTTTCGCGTTTTATGATATTCGTATTAATAACGCATTGAATTTTGTATTTATGTACATCCGGCTGTAGAAACCAAGAATTAGTTTCTATATTAAAATCATTATGATGTCCTTCTGAAATAAAATCAGAATATTTGCTTTTAAAACACCTACGGATTCAAAATGTTTTAATTAACTATGAAATTATTGATCTAGGAAAAGACTTATATTTTGCATATGCTAATTGTAATGAAATAGTAAAACATAACAATGTTTTTTTATATCCAACAACTTTTCACAGTTCTATTCTCAAAAACAAAATTACTAAATGAAATTTTAATATATGAAAAATATCTTTAATTGTCAAACTCATTCTCGAAATTTAATTCAACTTCCGCAATGGAAGAAAAAAATTAAGGACATAAATCCTAGTGGCGACAAAAATCAAATACTTATACCGGTTAAGATATATTTTGATGATTTCGAAATTTTAAATTCATTAGTTTATATTAAAATTTTAGCACTTCCAGAGCATCTAAATTGAAAATTATAATACATTTTTTAGGCAATGCTTTTTTTACGGAATGCCGAAACAAATTTGGTAACATTTGAAAAAATTTTTAGAAAAATTAAATGTTCTACAAAATCAAGGCATTGAACTGAATGGTAAAATCATCAAAATTATTCCATGTGTTGTAGGTGGTGATAATTTAGATATAAATTGCATTTTAGGTTTCGTAGAGTCATTTAGGTCTAACTATTTCTGTCGTTTTTGCAAATGCCACTCCAATGAAACAAAATTAATCTGTGTTGAAAATACTTCCAAATTAAGAACTAAAATAAAATTTTAATTTAGATCTTCAATCATCAGGTGTAAAAGAAATTTCAGTTTTTAATAGATTGAAATATAGCAGAAAACTATTGTGTTGATATAATGCATGACCTATTAGAAGGAGTCTGTCATAATGACTTTTTATTAATTAAAAAAATTGTTTTAGACAAAAAATTATTTCTATTGAGCTCATAAATAAACGGATCGAAATATTTGATCTTGGTCTAAATAATATTAAACCACCATTATTTGGCACCAGAGATGGGGGTAGTGCACTAATTTTTAACTATCACTAATAATTAGTGGTAGCTCAAAATTATTCACTACTTTTATTTAAGTTTAGTGATGCATTGAAAAATATAAGCCTTACTCAACAATAGTGATAGTGATATTTAAAATTTTTAACTAAAAATATTTTAAAAATAGTTAAAATATTTGTTTTTACAGCATAGTGAAATATTTTTTTCTACACTAAATTATTAGTACAAAAAATATTCCTGCACTATTTTTTTTTCAACGGAGAAATGTTTCACTAAATTGAAAGTTTACGTTATATGGTCTAGAAATGGTTCATGTCATGAATTCATTCAAGTCAATGAATAAAACATTCATTACTTACAAAGTTTCCAAGTTATTGCTTAATAAAAACATCCAGTAGCCACATCATTTTGGCAACGCAGCTGAGGTGGCAATCGAGATCACTGTTGCCAGATTTGACGATTTATCGTCATTTTGACGATTTATCGTCATTTTGACGATTTTATGTACCAAAAAATGCATATTGACGATTTGACGATTTTGACCCCAAATTTGACGATTTTTTGAAACATAGAGTATTCAACATTGAAAAAGAAAAATGTCATTTTTGATTGTAATAATAGTTAAGTGCAAAAGTGATAGATATATGTTAACGATAAAATAATAGTATTTGTTTGAAGTGTTGATATTTTAAGTATTTAACGCCTATATTAAACATGTAGATGTCCATAAATGATCAACTGATAGTAAACCATTTTAATTTTATGTGCGTCCTCATGAAGTAGAATGTGATTTAAAAAGAAGTTTTGAGAAAATTAAAGTGAATTTACAAAAAAAGAAGTAAAATTGTTTAAAAGAAGTAAAATTTTGTGTTTTAAAAAATGCTGAGATATCTTCAGAAGGAGGTAAGTAATATAGAAAAATTTAAGTATTTATATAAAAAAAATAATTGTTCTTTTATTTTGCAGAAAGCAAGTGGCGATGATGGCGCCAACCAAGACGATGAAAGTTGCAGCAGTACTTCGATGTTAAGTTTAACAAACATTTTTAAGTAAAAAGCTATCTAATGCTAATATTATTATTTCAGGCTGACAAACGAAAAAAAAGAAAAATTAAGGAGGACTGGTTAAAAAATCCAGACATTAATTCATGGGCTGCAAAGCGGGACAGCAAGGTATTTTGTAAAATTTGCAATGTGGAGTTGAAGAATTATCGGGAAAGTCCGATTTAATGGCTCATTTTCAATCCAAAAAACATCAAGATGCTGCCAAGGCTACCCACCAAACTAAAATAAACGAAGTTTTCGACATAGACTACTCTCCAAAAAAAGTTGCAGAAATAAAATTGGCATTATTTATAGTTGAGCACAATTTGCCATTTGCGGTGTCCGATCACCTTACAAAGGTATGTCAACATTCATTTAAGGATTCCAATACTGCAGCTAACATTACTCTTGGACGAACAAAAGCAAATGCTATAATAAAAAATATTGTAGGAGCAAAACAGTTTTCAGACGTAACTAATCTTTTAAAAACAAATTCATTTTCTTTGTGCGTTGACGAGTCAACGGATTTAACAAACGTTAAGTCTTTGTGTTTAGTTGTCCGCTTGTGTCTCAATTTTGAAATAAAGGATTTCTTTTATGGACTCCTTACAGTTGAGCATGCGGACGCTAATAGTTTATACCAACTTATAGTTAATCATTTTAATAAAAATGGTGTTAATTATAAAAAGAATATGATTGGGTTTGCCGCGGATGGGGCAGCAGTGATGACGGGCAGAAATAAATCTGTGGCACAACTTTTGAAAAATGAAAATAATGATTTATTTATAATAAAATGTGTATGCCATTCCCTGGCATTGTGCTCATCCTATGCTTGCCTTAAGCTTCCATCTAGCGTGGAACCCTTAAAAATATATTTTGCTTTTGCTGTAAATATAGATAAAATTGACACAGCTCAATATATTTTAGATAATTTAAATTTTGAAAATAAAATATATCTATGTTTCTTAAAATATATTTTAGGCATCATTAATAATATTAATAAAATGTTTCAAAGTGAAACTACTGAAATACAAAATTTATATGATAAAATGCAAAAATTGTTAAAAACTGTTCTAAGTAATTTTATAAAACTAGATCTATTAAAAAATGATAAATTCTATTTACTTAATTATAAAGACGAACAAAATATATTAGATTATAATGAGGTTTACTTAGGAGTATATGCCCGAGAAGAATTGATGGCGTCGGGATTAGAAGAAACTCAAAAGAATAAAATCATTCATAATTGTATTAATTTCTATGTAGAACTTTGTGATCAAATATTGGTTCGTTTTGATTTTGGAGAAAAGTTTCAAGCTTTAAGTTTAATAAATCCTTATTATATTATAAGTAATGAAAAAAACACATTTTATGAAATTGTAAACCAATTTTCACATTTTATAGAAGAAAATGAAAAACAAGATTTAGAGTCGGAATTTAGACAACTAAAATTAATAAATTGAGATTCTAAAAATGAAATGAAATTATTAGAATTTTGGAAAAATTTATCAGAAATGAAAAGGAGAGATTCAAGTGTTTTATTTCCCATATTAACAAAATTTATTTCAAAGATTTTAGTTTTACCACACTCCTCTGCAAATGTAGAAAGAGTTTTTAGCCAGGTAAACTTAAATAAAACAAAAACTAGAAATAGATTAGAAAAGGAATCTTTAGAATCAATTTTATACGTAAAAGACTATTTAAAATTAAAGAAATGTAATTGTTTTGATTTAAAAGTTGTACCTGAATTATTGCAAATGTTTAATTGCAATATATATTTGTAAAATACTGTAAAACTGTTAAGTATTTTATACAATACTAAGTCATTATTAATTTAAAAGCTTTATGTAAAAATATCTCATTTATTTTATTTAAAACACGAATTGTTTTGTTATGTTCTTATATATATTTTTGTTTTACAAAAATAACTAATGTTTTATTATATTTTATTGAAAATAAAATATTTTTTTGTTGAAAAGAGTGTTTTTTATTTTGACGATTTTTTGACGATTTCGATTAACCATTTTGACGATTTTGACGATTTTTCCCCGAAATTTGACGATTTTACTGCAAATTTATCTGGCAACTATGATCGAGATACATAATCGACCTATTAATTTATTTCTCCGAGGAGAGTGCACCATTTCGTTAAAAGCAAATAATCGTTCTACTGGAACAGTTTTGGAATTCAGGTGTTTCATTTCTTTTTAAAGCATGAAATATTTTAGGAGTACATTATAGTGTCATCGATATCATAATCTGTATTTTCGATTTTAATATATGTATCTTTTAAAAAATTTAATAAAAAAAAAATTTAAAAAAAATTAGTGCAAAGAAAATTATTGCAGCCTTTTGTTAGTTACTGTTCAAATTTTTAACTATTTGAGTGTAGTGTTTTTTTCTACACTATGACTCAATTGAGTTATAGTTAAAAAAAATAAAATTATCACTAAAAAAATATTAGTGCTAAAAATATAAGCTTCACTACCACTAATCTGATGAAAATTAGTGAAAAATATATTTTTTTTGTGCTAGTGAAATATTGATTTAACTAAATATTTAGTGCACTACCCCCATCATTGTTTGGCACAGATTGTTTAAACAAAATTAAATTTAAATAACCTCTATCTGAAATGCTTTTAATTATCAGATATTTACATATACTGATTGGCGATATTGTTTACTGTGAAATTGAAGTTGTTATTCTCTAAATGTTCACATGAATGTCAGAGTTCTTCATATAAACATTCTAGCTCTAATAGTTTCTCAGATATACGAATTTTTCTATTTAATTCATGTGGGGGCTTCAAGTTCGCCAGATGAAAGTCCGAACTTTTTCCTCAAAAATGTTCAGATGAATATTGAAGTAATTTTTGCAAAATTTGAAGAATCTGCTTCTATTAGTTTCTCAGATAAATTTTACATTTAAATCATATGGGAGGTGACAAGAACCCCATTAAAAGTCCGCCCGTTATACTCTAAATGTTTAGATAAATGTCAAAGTTTTTCAAGTAAAATTTGAAAATTCTAGCCCTAATAGTTTCTCAGATATACGAATTTTTCCATTTAATTCATATGGGGTTTCAAGTCCCCCCAGATGATAGGACGCTCTATTTTCTATAAAATGCTCAGATTAATATTTAAGTTCATAGTGCAAAATTTGAAGAATTTAGATATATTAGTTTCTCAGATAAATGAATTTTTGGATTTAATTACTATTGGGGGTGCCACTCCCCTCATGGGTATTCCGCCAATTTATTACCCAAAATGTTTAAATGGATGTTAAAGTTATTCGTACAAAATTTTAAGAATCTAACTGTAATAGTTTCCAAGATAAACGAATTTTCGTATTTGATATATATGGGAAGTGCCACGCCCCCTAAAAAAAAAAGAGGGAAATAATTCGGTAACTTCTAAACGGTTAATCCGATTTTAATGAAATTTGGTATGCACAAAGAGGAGGTGTTGTCGAGTTTAGGTTTTGAATTTGGACCTTATAGGCCAACCAGGGGCCCGGCGGGGGTCCTCAAATTAGGACACCTCGGCTATGTTAAATTTTTAAAACGATCCTATTTCTTCATTTGAGTTCCGATTTAAAAAAAATTTCGTATATAGAATCTCCTCATCGTAGCAGTAAATTATCTCTTATAGTTTAGGAGATATTCGCATTTGAAAATTAAAATTTTAAAATTTTTACCGTCCTTACTTTAGTTTTTTGATAATAGCGGGTCCAAATATTCCCGATTTTCGCCATTTTTTTTTATTCGCTGAACAACAAGTTTTATATCAAGCAGTGAAAGAATTATGTAAAAATCATGACTAAGTCCAAAGTTATAAGCATTTTAATTTAAAAAATTAAAAAAAGGCGATTTTTTGCCATTTTTTTGGGAAAAAAGTATCTTTTTCTTTTTAAGTTATCTAAAAAGTTTCTAAGAAGATGTATATAGAATTTATACTTTTTAGAAAGCTGACTTTACATAAAATTCGATAAATGAAACAAAACCTAAAAATTTTTGATACCGAGGGGACCAGGTCCATCCAAAAAAACCCTATTTTTTATGGAAAATTCAATTTTGAGCAAAAATTCTCAAATCGCATAGTCGATATCGAATTATAGTGACCTGTTTTATATGACCCAATATGTTCTTAATCATTTTGTAACGGGTTTCGATAACCCCGCCCCTGGTATGGATATAATAGGAAAAAAACCAAAAAATCCCATTTTTGGGATTTTTTTAAACTTTTTTGGGAATTCCGGGATTTCTAATAAGAAAATTCGAAATTTTTATTTAATTTTGGATTTTGAGTAAAAAAATCTACCTAACTGTAAAATTTCATCAAAAAATATTCATAAATAAAATTTTTATGGCAATTTGAAAAATTTGTATCTTCGCAAAAACTGAATAAAAAACATTTTTTAATTTTTTTAAAAAAAGTATTCCGCGAATTTTTTAATTTTCTTATACACAGTTTTGAAAAATAGACAAAATTACCTTTCCATTGATATATAACATGCCTACCTTATGTTTTTTAAGTGACAAATTAATTAGGGAAAACTCAACATCTTTTAGAGAATTTACCTAGTACTATTATTTTCAATATATTTTTTAATATATGTAACAAACTTAAGAGTTAACCTTATGGATGAAAATTTTCTTATTAGAAATCCCGGAATTCCCAAAAAAGTTTAAAAAATCCCAAAAATGGGATTTTTTGGTTTTTTTCCTATTATATCCATACCAGGGGCGGGGTTATCGAAACCCGTTACAAAATGATTAAGAACATATTGGGTCATATAAATAACACAATGCCCGCAGGGGCATGTTTGGCCGCCAATGCTTTATATGAATTCGCCTTGATATGGAACATACAAAAAATTATTATTATCATTAAAGGATTCAAAAACAAGTTCATTAATGCTTATTTTACAGTTTGAAAAAAAGATCAGATTGTGATTTTTTATTCTTAGTTCTAAATCATTACAAGTTTGTTTCAAAATCGTTTCATTAATATTTTTTGTGATAATAAAGCTGGGTTCAATAAAATTTATTTCTTTTTCATGTTTAATTATGAATTCACATTCACTTTCTTATTCATGTCAAAATTTAACTCAAAATGATTGTCACGTGAAGGAAAGCGAACTACTTTTAAAATGGGATAAGATTTCATTGTATTAGGAATTTGAACTATGAAATACAACACGTCCTCCCCTTGCCATAAGGAAATTTTAATATATTCTAATTGATATGTATTCAGAAATTTTATCTGTGTCTATTAATTTCGGATTAAGAATACCTTGTTTCGTAAAGTCAGTCCTAATTGAATGTCTTTCAAATGTTCGTAATAACTTTTGATGTTATCCAAAAATCCATCCAATCCTACCTTCCTAATTATCTGATTCTGTAATACATTAGTGGCATTTTTCAAATTTTTAATAAATTGAGTTTCGTTGTTTATGTGATATAAAATGTTGTTAATGTTGTCCTGTGTTAGCGTGCTATCTTCTATTGTCTTCAATCGGCTCAGAATTTCATGTATGTCCTCGTCATCAAGAATTCCAAACAAAAATGTAATTCCATCAAGAGTTCCAAACAAAAATTTAAGCGTTGAAAAGTCCGCGTTTGTGTCTAATGTTGAACAATTTCCTTTCAGCTTCAGCTATTTTAAGGTATCTTCTAATCATAGTTGTCTGTAAAAATTCATTTTCATTAAATTCTGTTTCTAATAATTCATATGCTATTTGAATTTCTGTTTTATTAATCTTTATTATGAGTTCATTATACTTATCAGGTATGTCTATTGTTGAGGTTGATTGTTAAAGAAAATATTGTAAGGAGTTTCCCCAGTGGTTGAGTGTGTTATGATATGATTATAAGTGAAAACTGTTTGCTCAATTGCTACTTGCTTTAATTCCTGATCATTGCCAGTGTTAATAATTCTTAATTTCTCATTTAAAGTTTAATGCAGTCTTTCAATATCTGATATTCCTGTTTTTCCAGTTGTAATTTCGAGTCATATGTTTAAAGTCTTATACCTTTCTTGTAAACTTACATTGACTAATCCAGCATCTTGATCAGTTTTATTTACTTTTGGAGGACACATGGCATTGAACACTTTCAATAATGCTCTTTTTGCTTTAACCCAATTAGTGTGATTTAGATTTTCTACCATAGCATATTTAGAGAAAACATCAATGCATGTTAGGTAAGAACAATTGTCCCACTTCCAAATATCAATAATATATTTATCTCGAATATAGTATGTAGGAGGTGTGACTTTAAAAGGCATTCTTGAAACTCTGTGGTAGAATTTGCATTGATTACATAAGTCGCAATTATTTATTATATTTGATATCTCCGAAACATAATTGGGATAGTAGTATTCTCTCTTAAATTCTACTTGTATTTTTTCTATTCCTTGATGCAAGCCTTTCAAATGTACAGACAAAATTATTTCTTTGAACCTATCATAAGATGTTATATCCTTCAATAATTTTGTAGCCCTTAAAATACGATTTTTCTTCGTTTGTCTTACAAGACTCGCATATACAAACTGAAATAGTACAAAATCATTATGGTTTTCGAAATATACACACAGAAAACAGATCGATCGGAAATCGGTTACCATGATAAATATTTAGTTAAATTAATTAAAATTGTATCGTTGTTATTGAAAAACTGTATAATTAACTGATTTTCTATATTCAGTATTAAAAAACAATAATACTATTCGAATTGTGGTTTTAACAATTTCTAAATCAAAAATTTGAACTGAATTGTATCGGTTATTAAATTCATTTGTGAATTCAGTAAATGCAGCCGACTTTTATTTAGGATTAAAACGTAAG